GATTGGATCCGTTGGTGAAGGCAAATTTTTATCACCGAGATGTGCTTGTCGCATCACAATTTGATAGTTAAAGTATTTAGATGCTAACATTCAAAGATGGAAAGGGTGCGTAGAACTATTGGATTTATTGTCGGCGGTAGTAATAAAAGATGGCAGGAGTACGTCAAATATTGTAAGCAAGAGGAGCTATCGGTTCGACCTTTGAAGTTATGTACAGACATGTCTATCGTTGGAACTCTACTTACTTGATGTTGGAAAAAGCTTTGCAACCACGAAACAAATTACAGATTTCGTCAACCGGAGAAGAACATCCAGAGGAAGTTGTCAGCATGATGATTGGGCGGTTTGTGACTTTTTATTCATTTCTTAAATTTTTTATGATGGTACTAATACATTAAGTGGTATTTTATCCAACTACTAATTTAGTGTTAGATATTTTAGTTCAAATTGCTAAAACTTTTGCTCAATATAGATATGATAACATTCTACGTGAAATTGTTTTAGTATGAAAGAAAAAAATAAGAGATATGGTTGATTATCCATTTTTTATAGGATTAGGCCTTTTTCCAGATCCTAGGTTTAAATTATCCGTAGTTAACGATGTAATTACTGAGTTAGGCCGGCATTTAGGATATGATTATACGTCTTATTTGATTGACTTTAAACACAAATTGGATAGACTTTTTTCTTTATATGAGAACATGTACAATGGAAGTGGAAGTGGAAGTGGAATGTCTAGGAGAGGCGATCGGACCTTGATGCAGCCCCCCCTCGAGGATCGAGCAAGTGGGCGTATGTGAAACGTGGCGGAGCTCCAGCTGTACATACATAGACCAAATGAGATGACTCGCTACCTACAGGTGGACCTGACCTTATGACGATGAAGGAGCAACTTGACATGGATATTCTTCAATGGTGGAACCAACATGAAAGTCGATTCCCCATAAATCCAAATGGCACGTGACATTTTATTGTGTCGATTTCTACAATTGTATCCGAGTCAACATTTTCAAGAGTAATCGGATTGTTAAAGACAGAAGATGTTCTTAACCGATGAGATGATTGAAGTGATAACGTGTTTACGGGATTGGACTCATGCAGAAAGAAGACTACAACAATACCCTGAAGATCCCGAACTACTCGAACTCTTTAGGAATACAGATTGAAATGTAACTGTTGACGATGAATTGAGAGAATAATTTAATTTAAAAAATTATTTAATTGTTTATTTGAAGCGTGAATGTGTGAAATGTGAATATTACCTTTATGTAAAAATTAAATTAACTATTAATTTATTATTTTTCAAATTAATTAAATTTTTAGAAACTTACTAATCAACCCCTAAAAAATACTAAAAACCCCCTATAAAACTTCATTTCGCCCCTAAAAATAAAAAAAATCAGGGGGGAAAAAATTATCCAAGCCCATAGGACCAGTCCCGACCAGGCTAGGGCCTGGTCGGGTCCTGGTTTTTCTCATAGGCCTGGACGGTCCCAGGCCCATGAGTGACTGGTCCATTTGGGACCAATCCCAAAGGGTCCAGGCCTAGGCCCACAAGGGACCGGTCCTTGCCCAACTCTACCCGTGAGCACACATAGGGTTGGGACATATTTCAGGCGAACATCAACAAGCCTCCCCTGATGTTATTGGATAATTGTCAAAAGTCAGTTTGTTGAAGGAAATGTCTATCTCCTAAGGACATTCCAAGACTTGTGCGCACAGAGTTGGGATGCGATGTTAGTTATTGGAAATGCTAGAAAGGGAGACAACATGCACAAGATTTTGTGAGGGGCCATGCTAGAGCACGATACGCAATATTAGAAGTGCATCGTTATATGCTTGAGTTGACAAACCACGATAGCAAGATGACTTTGAAGTGGGACAAGAATATGAGGTTTAAATATTTTTGTTGCTTATGGTGCTACTATAAGGGTTTTGTAAACATAAGAAAGGTGTTGGTGTTGATGGGCTTTTTGACGAGAAAGTATGGAGGTACATTGTTGGTGGCCACTACAAGGACAACGAGAATCACACATATCCGTTGCATGGTGTGTGGTTGACTCTGAAAACGACAAGTCGTGGACTTGGTTTTTCCAAAATTACTATAATAGCTGCCTAACAGTGATGAGTTGTACATAATATCTTATAGGCACAACTTTATAAAGAAATGGATTGCCACTATTTACCCTTAAGCATATCACAGATTCTATATGAGGTACCTTGGTGAGAACATAAAACAAAAGTTTAAGTGCGTTGGCCTCCTTCAGACATACTACATGGTAGCAAAAGCTTATCGAGTTGATGAGTTTGAGGAGCACTTCCAGCAAATCTGAATCAAGGATGATAGAATTGCTAAGTATCTTGAGCATGATGTTGGTTTCGAGCGATGGAGTAGAGCTTACTTTCCAGGAAGAAGGTTCAATGTCATGACCACGAACATAACCGAGTCCATAAATTCAAAGTTGTTAATAGAAAGAAAGTTTTCAATTGTTGCTCTTTTTGATGCAATCTAGAAGACATTGTCACGATGGTTCTATGAGCGTCATACGGAGTCAGATAATTTTACCACAACCCTTGTTCCGTCAGCTGAAAAATTATTGTGAGAACGTATGGAACTGTCAAATGCATTGTTTGTCTATCCTCTCAATGCTCAAGAGTTTACCGTGAGTGGCTATGGTTCGGATGCCCTAGTTAACCTTTTTAGTAAAACTTGCAGTTGTAAAGTGCTTAACATTCAACATTTACCTTGTCCTCATGCACTAGCAACACTGAAACACCAATAGAAGCCGGATTTTGGTTCAAGAATTTACATGGAACTTTGCTCCCTACTCTAGATGGCAAACCACTACATGTTGGCTTATTCGGAATGATATATCCAGTTCCTCTAAAAGAGGAGTGGGTGGTGCCGCCAGAGTTGGTTGACATTATCATCCATCTGCCATTCAAGAAGACAGAAACTGGGAGAAAAAGAGTTAAGCGTATTCCATCAGCCTGTGAGGTTCCTCGGATGATGAATAAGTGCTTAATTTGCAAGCAACCTTGCCACAAGGGAAACAGTTGCTAGAATTGATTACATGCAGATCTAGAAAATTAGGTTCGAATCGATCAAATGCAAGAAAGCAAGCAACATGCCGTAAGATCTGCAGATAAGTTCAAGTATGGAAGTTAGACATAGAGTTTTGTAGTTTATGTGAAATGCATTTCTTATTGGATTGTCTTGAATAATTGGATTGTCTTGAATTGGATCAATTGGTGTTGTTAAACGTCAAACTATTGATACTTGGGTATTATGTATGTTTTCTAGCCAAAGCCAAGGTTGCATAATATTGGAAGGGGTGCTGTAGAAGAAGACGAAGAGGCTACTGCTGTTGTTGATGCTGAAGGCGTGTTGAATAATTGTGGAGGATGGGGAAGTGGCTGAAGAGAATGATGAAGAGGGAGTATGGAGGTTGCTGGCGCTGCTTTTATTTTGGATGTATATAGGACATTTATTTGTTGTATATAATATTGTAATTTAATGTAATTGACACATTTCAGATTTATACAAAAGCAATTCAGTATTTTTTTACCTATTTTGAGTTTGAGTTTATTTGGTATTCTTGTTAAATGGGATTAATGTGTTGGTGATTTTAGTTTGTCAAAATTCAGGAGAAAAACTGGAAAAAAAATAAGTGTTGCCCATGATTGTTTAAGCGACTATATATATCGCTTAAGCGATCAAGGGTTTTCTATACAATATCGCTTAAGCGAGACCGTAAATCACTTAAGCAATCGTGCACTTGGGATGATCTAGATTTTGCCTTGGACTCGATCGCTTAAGTGATCAAGGCTAAAAGTGAAGAATCGCTTAAGCGAGACCATAAATTGCTTAAGCGATCGTGCATCTGGGATGATCTTGATTCTGCCTTGGACTTGATCGCTTAAGCGACCAAGGCTAAACATGAAGAATCGCTTAAGCGATCATGTATCTAGGATGATCTTGATTCTGCCTTGGACTTGATCGCTTAAGCAATCCTAAATCTCTTAAGCGACCAAGGCTAAACGTGAAGAATCGCTTAAGCGATACATAAATCGCTTAAGCAATCATGCATCTGGGATAATCTTGATTCTGCCTTAGACTTGATCGCTTAAGCGATCATAAATCGCTTAAGCAACCAAGGCTAAACGTGAAAAATCACTTAAGCGATATATAAATCGCTTAAGCGACAGTGCATTTAAGATGATCTTGATTCTGCCTTGGACGTGATTGCTTAAGCAATCTTAAATCGCTTAAGCGACTAAAACTAAACATGAAAAATCGTTTAAGTGATCCTGATTCTGCCTTGGATTTGATCGCGTAGATCGTTTATACGATTGCTTAAGCGACCAAGTATAAAAGTAAAGAATCGTTTAAGTAAGAACCTAAATCTTTTAAAGATCGTGGACCTAGGGTGATTTCATTCTGCCTTGAACTTGATCGCTTAAGCAACTAAGGGTAAAAGTGAAGAATCGCTTAAGTGATCTTGATTCTGGCTTGTACGTGATTGCTTAAGCGATTTGTTCATCACTTAAGTGACTAAGGCTAAATATACTGAATCACTTAAGTGAGACCTGAAATCGCTTAAACAATCTAGTATATTCAAATGATATTTACTATGCCTTTCACAAGATCGATTAAGCGATTTACATTATCACTTAAGCGACGAAGGCTTATTAACACTGGGTCGCTTAAGCGGTCCCCCTTTTATTTTTATTTTTTTTGGAATATTTGTCCACTCCATATCAAGGGACGTTAATATGAATTTCGGACTTTACAACATCACATGATTATTAAAGTTAAAAGAAATTGTAAAAAAATTTCCGGGTTATTTTTTTAAACGCAAATTTGGGGGGCCTAGCTAATTAAATTTCCGCGTTTTATAACCTTCAAAAGTTTGAAGGCGGCAGTTCAAAGCTCAGCCAAAGACTTGACTTAATTTCAACTGAATTCGACCACCCATACTCCGAAGTCATAACTGCCGTTCGTTACTACCGCAGCAACCAATCCTGACCGTTAAATGACTTCACCAACGCCGTTCTCTACGGCGGAGGCTGTAGAATCAATCAACCTCTCTCTCTCCGACCTCAGCGACAACAGCAATAACCAGGACTTCTTCGAGAATCCCCGCCGCTTCTGCGGCTACGTCACGCGCCTCCAGCTCCCTCTCAACACTTTAATCCGTACTTCTTCCTCGCTTGATACTCTTTCTCCGTCCGTGCAGACCGCTTTGAAAGGCATCGCTGGAGATTTGGCCAAGGCCGTGGAAACGGTGTTGGTTTACCGAAACAGAAGTAAGATTTTTGTTCTCATTAATTGCATTTCTTTGTCCGATGAGCTCCAGGAGTGCACGAAAGCTATCGGCGCATGGCTCGCTTTGACCGAAACCTCTCTTCACGATCATCCCGAACTTCGGAAAAAAATCGTCGATCTCTCGCGTGACATGAAGGAAACTTTGTTCAAAGTACGCTGAACTTGGCTTAACGTAATTCACTAACAGTACTTTATATTTGCGCGTGGTGTTCTGACGCTTTTTGTTTTGTGTGTTGTAGGTTACTGAAAATGAAGAGCGTGTGCATTGCACGCTACAGAAGGAGGGTGAAGGAAGACAGACGACGAAAGCAGTTCAGAGCGCAATAATAATGGACTTAATGAGAACGTTAGGTCTTGAATCCAATGATTTAACTGAATTAACGAAACAAATCAAGCAGTTAAGGACTGACTTGGCGCGTTCCAGTTCGGTTCCTGAGAGACGAATTTTGAGTTCATTACAACGAATCTTGGATTCTTGGTGTATTGTTCCTGACATTTCGAGCCTAAATTATGATATTGAAACGGAAGATGATGTTAACATTTCTCCATTTAAAAGCTTTTTATGTCCTTTAACTAAAGAAGTTATGAAAGAACCAGTAGTTTTGGAGTCATCACAGACTTATGAAAGAAAGGCAATTGAGTATTGGTTTGAGAGGTGTTTAGACGATTGTCGAGACCCGATTTGCCCTGTAACAGGGCAGGTGTTGAAGTCATTGGAGCTGAAACCGAATATCGGTTTGGCTGGAGCTATTGAGGAGTGGGTAAATAGGAATGTTGATGTTCAGGTAAACAAAGCGGTGGAGGTTCTAGGTGAGGAGAATCCTCAAGTGGATTGTGTTGAAAGAGTGTTGGACATTGTTTATAAGATCTCGGAGGAGTATCCTTTCAATAGGTACAGGGTTAGGAATGCTGGTGTTGTGTTGCTTATAGTTAAAGTGCTCAGGAATTCTTCTAAGAGTATTAGAACCCAATTGAGGAGTAAAGCTCTCATGGCTTTGCTTAGCATGGCAAAGGACGAAGAAAGCAAGGTGAGTATTTTATTTGTTATAGAATCATTAGAAATTAGTTTTCCACTTGGTTTGGGTTTATGTTTACTGTTTTAGTAAACGATAAATGAAACATTTCAGTTAATATGATTTATGTTTCTGTAGCTAGATAAATGGTTTCTAACACTGTCACTGTCATATTTGCTAATGATGTGTTAAATTTTTTATAGAAAATCATGCTTGACGAGGGTGTCAGTAAATTGGCCATACATAGTCTTATTGGAAGCTCAGAGAAAGAGAGGGAGTATGCGGTGAAGTTATTACTTGAGTTCTCTAGTGATAGAGCTTACTGCATATCAGTAGCATTAGAGAAAGGGGCATTAGTTCTTCTCACAAGTATGGCAGGAAATTTGGAGCATCCTGCTTTGTCCAATCTAGCTGAGGAGGTGTTAAAGAATTTGGAGAAGGTAGATGACAATGTTCAGCTTCTGGCAGCAGCTGGAAGATTTGAACCATTGATTAGTCGTTTATGTGAAGGTATGTCTTGCGTTGGTTTCTATATTAACATAGAGAAATAATCATATCAATCATGTGGCAAATGTATACAGGGGCAAGATCAGCCAAGAGAATACCTGCTTCTAAACTAGGGAGACAAAGAGTCCTTGCTTTTGTCAATAGCCTTTATCCTAAGGCAGAAAATCATAGATCAAACTCTAATCTAGGTGTTTGCTGTGAACAGGTTCTGATGATGTTAAAATAGAGATGGCATACATGGTGGGAAAGATGACCTTGACTAATAGCAGTAAAGAACAAATTGCTAGACAATGTGCTAAAGTACTAGTTCAGTTGCTATATAAGTCGGCAGGAAGAGCAGCAAGCTTGCAAGCATTGTACAACCTATCCGGGTTGGATGACAATGCAACCATCCTTGTTGATTCTGCCGTGCTTCCAGCTCTAATGGACATTCTTTTTAAAGACCAGGATGCTTCACCAGAACTGAATGAGTTGGCTGCAGCTACAATTGCAAACATAGTGTCAAATCCAGGGCACTGGGAGTTATCATCTGCTGACAAGAAAGGGAATTCAATGCAGTCAGAATCTGTTGTCTCCAGTCTTTTGGCTCTTTTATCTGTTGCATCTCCAAAGTGTCAAGTGTCCATTCTCCATATCCTGTGCGGAATCGCTTCATCTCCCCAAGCAGCAGGTAATTGTTTGTTGACAAATATATTTGTTAATTAGAATTTGTTGCCATCACCATTTTTTGTATGAAAATACTGGACTTAGTCTTATCTAGTTTATCAAGATGTTCGTATGTGGATTTCCATTATCTAATTAATTTTACTAAATCTATGGTATTATCTAAATTTTTGATGTCAGTCTGCATATATTAGGATGTAATTGCCAGGCGTGGGACATAAATCAGGGAGACAATACTCATTATGTGAATTACTTTGAATTTTGCATGACTGAGGATTCTTATCCATTAAATATAATAGCAGAATGACATTTCTTTCTGTATATGTTCACTTTGCAGGTTCTGTGGCTACTCACGTAAAATCTGGAGATGGCATTAAAAGCATTTTCCTGTTTCTTGAACACCCTGAAGTTGAATACAGAGCTCATGCTTTTAGGCTTACCAGAATACTCTCAGAATGTTTTGGTCAAGATCTAGCTTATGAGCTAAAACCATTTAACAAACCTTCATTTTTCAAAGAAAAGCTATTAGATGACCAATCAACACATGGTGAGAAATCTGATGCTGCATGCATACTTGCCAATATTCCGCTCTCAGAAGAAGAAGTGAAAAGACTTTTCGAAGCTAACTTTATAAAATGGATAGTGACCAATCTTAAGAACCAGCAACGCAGTTCCAATGCAAGACTTTTCCGACATATACCAAGCATGGTTGAAGGGTTACATGGGCTTCTACTTCACTTTACAAGGAGTCTCGATCCACCAAGTCTTATTGTGGCGAGAGAACAGAGTCTTATGACTGTTTTCTGTGAGCAACTCAGTTTTCCTTCAAAACCAAAAGTGAAGCAACTGGCTGCCCTTGGATTAAAGAACTTGTCAGAAGCTGGAAGGTTGCTTTCTGCTGCAGACTCTGGAAAACCAACTCCTCGGGGAGTCTGTGCTGTCTTGGTAGCCATGTGTGGTAGGCCTCCTCCAGAACCTTCCACATGTCCTATACACAATGCTCATTGTGAAGACGATAGTCAGTTGTGCCTGCTAAAGAGCAATTGCATCAGACCACTGGTTGATCTTCTCATGGATGAGGACACTAACGTTCAAATTGCCGCAGTGGAGGCACTTTCAACTCTCATTGTGGATACTTCTAAAAATTTGAAAAGAGCTGTTAATGAGCTGGATCAACAAGGTGTGGTTGATGCTGTGATTGGTCTTTTCACAGAAGTTCGTCCTGGGGTTCTTCAAGAGAGGGCACTTTGGATGATAGAGAGGATACTGAGAGTGGAAGGCCACAGTCACCGATACTCACTCAATCAATCTCTTGTTAGGGCTTTGGTAGAAGCGTTTAAGCACGGGAATGCCAATGCCAAGATGCATGCTCAAGAGGCTCTTACAAACCTAAAGCAGATATCGGGTTTCAGTGGAAAAGGTTCAAGTCAAGCTCATTCACGAGGTAGGTAATGAATGAAAGTTGTAATTCTACTTTGTCAATGTTGTAATGTTCTGTAATTTATGGTAGTTTATCTTGTATAGTGGTTACATAATTCATATTTTGCTTGACGTAGCATATGAAATTGGCTTAAGTTATGTGCATTATCGATCAAGAAACTTATGTGTACATTATAAATACAATTAGTTCGCACTTTAGACAGTTTGGCTTCTGTGTCAATAGCAATTTTTGCTCTTCTCCAATCAAACTCTTTATATAATCCTCTAGGAGGCAATGTGTTTGTTATTTCTAGTTTGAATATAGTCATATAGATTACAGTTACCTCATAAGAAATTGAGAAACTAAGGATGCTAAACCAAGTATGCACACAATTGGATTTTGCAAACGACTTTCGCTTTTTCGACATTAACTGTGTGCCAACCATGACTTCTCGAACCAAAGACCGTCATCCTTCTTTATTTGATTATAGATAAAGCATTTTAGCATCATTTACTCTGTAGACTAATAGAAAGAACTGAAATTGAAGCTGTTCGAGGCATTTGTGTTTGACACTAAATTCATGATGCCTGTACTTGAACATGTATTCAAGACAACCGACTGTGTCTAAAAATGCACCCTCATTGAGATTGGTAAAACAAGTGTCAAAGTTAGTTTGTTGAATCCTGAAGATTAAATCCTTCAGAAACTTGATATAAGCTTGATAGATGTGAACCATTCCTTTAGATGTTCAATCAAACCAAAAACTTTATCCCTACAGATTAAAAATATTGAAATATCTTCTGCAATTCCCTCTTGTAAACAAGTTAATTTAGTGTCTCGAACAAAGAAAAACAAATATACTTTCCTGAAAAGTTCATAGCCTTCCTCCAGACAGGCCAGTTGGGCTTGGTGAATCGGAAAAAAAAAAAAAAAAAAAAGAAATCCTTAACAAGTTTGGCTTTGTCGTAAAGTTTCTGTTAACTTTTTGTCACATGTTGATGATAAAATATATAGTTCTAGTTAAGAGTTTACAAAATTAACAGCAAGCCAACAGCTCTTCTCTTATTCCAGTTACAACAGTAGGCCTTCGCTTAGCTTTAGCTTATATTAAATTGGGTCCATGAGCTTATTCAGTGGGTAGTTGTCTTTTTAATGGGCTGCTTCCTGCTGTCTCTACATTCCCAAATTTAGTAATTGTTTTTAACTTCTAAATGCCATGAAGGGGTCATCAATGTACTTCAATTTGTTTATAATATACATCAAAGTTGACGCCAAATTGAAAATATTAAATCATAAAAAGATGCAGCAGTTGAGAATGCATTGTCCAAGGCATTCATAGTTTTAAAATAATACACAGGAAAGATGATTTTTCGTCATATAGACACCTGATAGGCTGATACCACTATATTTAATAATAAAATTATGGTATAAGATTGCAATCTCCAGTTAAATTTGTCCATTTGTTCTTTGTTTGAACTGGGTTGTCTTGTATCAGCATCAACTATTCAATTAATCTACATTTTTATCAAATTTGAAAATCTAACAAAATGGGGTTTTTTGTATGCTCTGACCTCTGATATATGAATTGGGTAGAACTTTAATGCAAATAAATATAGGTAGGTTAAAATGATAATTTCTAGGAATATTTAGAACATTTTATCTCTGAGAAGGATAGCTGTAAGCTATAAGGTTAATTGAAAACTAGATCGTTCATGGATGGAAGTAGATGAAGACAGGACACCCCCAATTACAGTGTAGACAAAGTAATTGAGTTGATAACACATGCAGTGTGCAGTAAGACTGTGCTGTAAATGTCATCAATTTCTGACAGTTAGATATTGCAAGTTTTGATATGAAATAAATGTATGATTCACAGTATAAAGTTTGAAAGAGATTTAACTTTGGAGACCCCATCAATCTGATGATGTTTCTTGGAAAAGGATAAAACAGTACCCAGTCATTTATAGCCAGCCATTCACAACTATATCTACCACCCGTCACCCTTTTTCTTTTCTTTACATCACAAACCAATTTAATTCAATGATATTTATTTGCATATTATTCGCCTAAAACAGCTGTTCTAATTAGAAACGGAGTCTCTATTCTCTAACCAGGCAATATGAGATTTTTATACTTCATTGTTCTCTCGATATTAAACGAGACTCCAGACTGAATGGAACCAACATTCTATTTGATTTAGAAGTCTAGTTTTATATGGTGATGGATGGAGTTAAAAGCTAATATTTAAGATGTTGTTTGATGTCAGAAGTGCTTTTATCAGTCACATGTGATGCTTACCTTTATCTTTAATCATACCCAGTCCCGTCATGTTTTCTGGGTTTTTTCTAATATGGAAAGCAATGCCAGAGAGAGATGAAACTGATGGATCTGCAAGTAGTTAATGGTGTTACCCTATCTCAACAGAGATTTTCTACTTAAGCTAATTACATTCTGGTTCATTCCCTCTAGTACTATATTGTCACTGAGCTTCAGCTTTTCCCTGAATAAAGAATTGAATTAAAAGCTATTTTGTTATTAATTTATTATTCTCCAAGCCTTGGCTTCACTTGTTTCAATGCAAAATTTCTGCACTTATATTATTAGAATCTAATCCCAGGGACAAACTTTCTGCTGCAAGTTGTTTNTTCCCTCTAGTACTATATTGTCACTGAGCTTCAGCTTTTCCCTGAATAAAGAATTGAATTAAAAGCTATTTTGTTATTATTATCCAAGGCTTGGCTTCACTTGTTTCAATGCAAAATTTCTGCACTTGTATTTTTAGAATCTAATCCCAGGGACCAACTTTCTGCTGCAAGTTGTTTGTTTCAATTTTTTATTTCTTTTTATTTACTTTATGGCTACAAGCTTGAAAAGACTGTACTAAAAGCAAATACAGTAGTTCTATGGAAGAACCAAATTACCATTGGAATTTGGAACCTCATATCTTTGCCTCGCTGTGGTTTAAAAAATTATCAAAAAGGTACCTAAAAAAACTAAGGGTTGTCAGTGATTTAGGGGAATAGGGATGAAGCTTCCTCATTCCTGTAGTAAGATTCACTGATGTATTTATGATGTATTTATACATATATTTATTTTTTGATAACTAGGGTGTTCGGACCAATTTGAGTACACTTCAACTAATTTTCAGGATCCATTGACCATCCTACAAATCCAATATTCCAAGTAAACTGTAAATGTGATAAGTGGTCTCAAAATAGTTTGAACAAAAAAAGTCAATGAAAAGAGTAAAGTTTCTTGACTATCAGGTCAACCCTTTGCGATTAACTTACGTATTTATTACAAAATAAAAGAAATAAAATTGGAAGTTCAACTTATAAATTTAAAAGTCACTTGCGCATAGTGAAAAGACTCAAAGTCATATCAATCCCACTCGAACATCTATATACCTAGTTTGTCCGATTAAACGAGTGTCGTACACGTACATTCATACGATTTTTCGACACCCCTATTAATATTAGCCAACTTTAATGAGTTTTTTGTTTGAAGTAATGGTATAATTGTATGCAAAAACTTCAAAATCAAACCATATACGTATAGATCTCCTAAGATTAGTAAAATTTGCAAATAAATTTTTCATGAGAAAAAGCATTTGAGTTGAAGCCATATCTTAAAAAAAAAAACAACAGAGTAAATACCACAAATGACAATTTGAATTGACAGGCTCTAGAGTTTGGACCTTTTTCTTTAATTGATTTTTGAAAAAAATTGGGGCTCCGTTTGGTTCACAATTGGGTGTTTTTGGGAAAAGTTTTTTGAAAAAAGTAAAAAAAAAGTTAAATTGGGCGGGTATTACGATGTAGGATTTATAAATTAATAAAATACCTCCTATATTTGTTTCTTTACAAAACACCCCCTATAATAAAATCTTAAAAGTTAACAAAAACACCCCCAACCCAATGTCAAATACGGACAGCCGGCCACTACCGCCGGAGGGTGGCCGGAGTTGCTGTAACAAAAACATTAAAAATATTTAGGGGTATTTAATTGAATTAACAAATTTAGGGGGTTTAAAAAATGTTGAATAAAGTTGAATAATATTGTGAGTTTTTGGGTATTTTACTGTTTAACTTTTTTGGGAATACTAAAAGTAGTATTCCCAATTGGCAACCAAACGGAGCCTGGATCCTTTTTATTTAAGGCGAAGTTTTGACGTTTGAGATCTTAATAATTTCTCCGTTCTCAAACTCCAACCCTATCTTGCGTTTAACATCAAATACGCAAAGAAATCACAAGCACTAATACAATGAAAGTTGCTTTAAGCACCGAAATTTTTGCATCATTTTTTTTTTTGGGAATTTATAATGCTTAGTTTACATAAAACGAGAAGAAAAGCCTTATGTTTGATTGAAATTTGATACAAGTCTATTATAGTTTCTGTTGTTTGAATTCATCCACATGTCATTATTTTGAAATTTTACTCAAATTTTTACGTAAAGTCTCATTTTTTTTTTTTTTTTTTGTTTTTTTGTTTTGTAAAGATGGAAAATGCGAAGATCAACACACTAGTAATTTTTCGTTTCATGAAAATGCAAAGACGTAGTTTTAAGGCTCAAAGGGAAAAAATTAATTCATTAATTAAATCTATATAGTCTTTCAAGAACTTTGATTGTATATATATTAAAGGTTGAATTTGTCCCATATCATCAAGTTGGAGCGTCGTTATAGTGTATATATATATCAGTGTTTTAATAACCAACTTAGGATGAAACTTGACAAAGTGGCTAGGTCTCGGGTTGATCGGTTTAACCCACCGGTCAAACCATTGTCTAAAACTTTGAAATATAATAAAAATACTCCTGAAAATTATTATAAATCCTATAGGTTTGAAATCTTACAAAAACACCCCAAATATCACTGCCGCTGTCGACAAACCAAGGAAAATAGGGCTTGGTTCCAGTGAGGATAACACTCCCTATCACCACGAAAACACTACCCTCAGCTTCCTGACCAAAACCATGTCACCCCTCCCTCGATTGCCTCGCCAATCGGCAGCAAAAAGCCACTGTTGCCACTAATTTAGTTTTTCAATTTCTGATCGATTCACTTACCGAAAATCAACTATGTCGCCACCATTGCATTTACCAGCCCTTTCTCTCCAAAAGTTTCAACATCCTGGCCTTCAATTTTTTGTTGATCATCGTCCCAATTCCTAGGGTTTTTGATGAATAGAAAAATTGCTAACCTTAC